AAAAGGTACAGCCAGAATGATGGGCTCCAGGTCAGTTAGCATGTGAGAGGATGAAACAGAGCACATACAGTCATAGTCAGAGAAACAGGACTACAATGAATCATGGGCCAAACTCCAATATCTATAAACAAAGGTTTTGATGGCAGCAGCACAGCTGACGTTTCTCTCCAGGATGTTGTCACAGCCAACAGGAACAGACCAAATGAAGCTACTATGATGAGAAAAAGCAGAGAGCATAAAGTTAGTTTGAATTAACAAATGATACACTGAAGCAGAATGCTGACAAAATGGTCCATATGTCCTCCAGCACCCTAAGCCTGAAGGGGCAGAGTTTGGGCAGAGTTGCCAGTGCCCTAAAGTCCACTGACAATGCTGCATTTTCAGAAAATTTAACAGTCTCCCTCTGTGTTTTGGATTTAACAGATGACTTTGGACCAGCAGGTTGAGGAGTCATGGATTTACACATAAAGGCAAAGCGACATTCAGCCTTCTAGGTTAAATCCCACATCAAAGAACCAATAATATGTCTGATCACGTTTCATATTTGTTTTGAACAACAACTTTTTAGGGATGGCTCTGGTGTTCATAGGGACTCATTTAGTGACATATCTGAAACTTTCAAGTTAGGTAGGTGAGTTCTTGAGAAGAGTGGCCCACAGAGGGCATCATTTGGCACCAAGTGCTGTAAATTGACCAATTTACACTGCCATTTATATATATAGCTAAAAGTTATTTAACGTTAATTAATGTTGTTTTAAAAAAACAATTTCATGGTTACAAAGTTTGCCTGAAAGGTTCACAGGTAGGCCTTGCTACAGTAAGACAGATGTTTAAACTCTGCCTAATATTCCCTAATAAGAAGACCCTTTCAAAGGAAGTAATTTCTAAAGGAGGTTTTATCAGTTCCATAGATTGTATGCTTCTCCTTGGTTTCCATCATTTTTATCTCAATGCTTTGACTATTTTATTAAAATTTGGGGGGGGCAAATGGCAAGGTTAAAAAAATAAAACTCTTGATTTATGAACAAATAAATCAGATATACCGTAGTACCTCTGATTTCACTGACAAAAAATATATAATGTTTTACTTTCAGATACCAAATATTTGCATTTAGGCCTAAAAACTGGAGATATTCTTTACGCGTTTTAGCTGTATATTTCCTGGCAAAATTTATTTCTACTGTTACCACATTACAAGATAATATTTTATATTTTTATTTTTCCAGCAATATTAAAGCAGCACATTCAGGGGGCTGAAAAAGTTTGATCCTCAACTTAAATCAGAGACTTTCAAGAAACCAACCAACCTTTTTCAAATCCAGCTTATACAATAAAACAAAAGCTAAAATCTCAAAAATAAAAGCGAGGAAACTTGCTGTATTTGTTCAGCCTCCTGTTATTGTCTCTCTCTACCCTTATGTGTCTCTATAGACTTTAACTTGTCTCGACATATTCTAGAAAAGGCAGTTTGTTTTTTAGGGAGCTTCTTACAGTTCATGCCTTTGCTTCATTTTAAACACATTCAATTTAATATATTAGACTCCTTTATTTAGACTGACCAGAAATGGCTCTTTAGTTTTTTTATTTGCAGAGTGACTGCTGGTTTAAGGCTGAAAATATGTTGAGTGGCTGATTTATGTAGTGAAATGTGGAGTTTGAAGGTTATTCATTAGTCGGTAAATATTTGATCATTCACCTATTGTTTTCAATCCAATGCCATTTTGTTAAAGTTTATTTGTCACAATTGAATGTGAGATATTTCTTTTTTATATATATATATACTTTTTTCGGCCAACATTATTCAGGTTACATTTAGTTTTTCTGTCATGTCTTTCATAAAGTATTGAAGAGCATACAAAAAGTGACTGTTATACCTCTAAATCACTTTATCTATTAGCCCAACCATGTTATTTATTCCATTTTTACTGAGGTAAACAATGCCTTTGTCGAGTTAATACATCTGTTTGTGAGTGGAGATGTTTTGATGAATGATGCTTCTCTGCCAGTTCATTTACTGCACCTCAAATCTTTTGACAACTTCAAACATAAACAGTCATAATAATAAATCAAACAAATCATAATGTTCATAGCCATAATCACAAGTCATTACTCGCCTTTATCTACTCTTTGTATTCTCTCAAAAATGTTTGAGAATACATTGTATTAGTCTCCCTGTCATTACATGATTCTCACACTTCCTTCTTATTTATGTATGTCCACTTATCCCTACCCATTTTTTTGTACAAATGCCAGTATACTCTCTGCTTCCATCTACTGGCCACCAATGTGCACTGTGGGCTGGTTCAGCTGTTGCTAGGGACAACTGCTTCTTGAAGATTTGAGTTCTCTGGGAGAGGGGGTTGGTTGCTAACCATGTAAGCTTTGCATGAAACCTAATCTTGGAGATACAGGATAAATATGCACTGAGGTGTTACTAAAAAGAACAGGATAAAAAGTAAAAAAAAAAATCAATGTCCAATGCAAATCATGGTGCTTAAATAACTTAAGTTGTATTTAAGGGATATTTTTACACAGAAAAAAAGCCTCTCAAAATGTCTTTAGAAAATCTGAATCAATCCAAGGTCACTTCAGACCAATGCATTTTGGGTTTTTTGCTGAGGTCTGTTTTGCCAAAGCTTGCAGTATGGTCTTTTTACTGTGGCTGTTAAAAATCCATTGAGGAAATGAGTGGCTTGGCTGCCAATGCTGTGTCTATTAATACATTACCTCTTACTGAAATTAGCAACAAACCTAAAGAAAGATGAACGGGGTTTGGGGTGCAAATAAATAGGAAATTAAAACAAAATGACTGAAAACTTATGAAATTAAGCAAAGTTTCTTTCAGTGCTTAAAACACCATTGGGTGTTTTTTTTTTTTTTTTCAAATACTCTTTTGTGTTTATTGTATTTCCACATTTCCATGTACTGACTTATAAACTTGTAGAATTAAAGCACATTATCAGTAGGGCACATAGCAAGCAATGTGCAAATGTCCAGTTTTCTGCATTAGGAAATACTATTCAAAAGCTTTATATTAAACAATTAAAAATGACTATTTACTGTTTAAGTTTAGCTTAAAAAAATTTATTTAGTTAGTCTTTTGCTGTGTCTTATAACAATAGATCTTCAACTTACTTGGGCTTTTTTATGTGGTACTGTATTTGCATAAACCTTGATGGTGTTATGAAGAAGTATTTATAAACCAAAATGTATTAATTTAGGGTTTAATATACTTAGTTGTAAAGTGGCATAAAAGGTTAGATGGTTTTAACATGTTAAAAGTTCTAAACAGTGGGGTGAAAACTTGTCCTAATGGTCGTATTTGATGGAGACTGTCTGATGCGTATTGAGGATCAGTCGTTGTCCTCTTAGAGATACCACGAGCCTCTGTGATGGTTTGCTAGGTAATGTCCTACTTGCCTACTTTAAACTTCATATGGATAGCCATGTTCTTGCAGGTTTGCTAAAAAAGAATGACAGTTTAAGTAACTTTGAACTTTGCAGTTGTAAAATGAAAAAAACAAGAAAAAGATCAATGGGCACAGATGCTTTTCCATAACTCTTCAGTTTGTCAAAGTATGATTGCGCCAGATCTTCAAATTACCCCAGACAATCTAAAGATACATGTACAGATATACTGATTGTCTTGAGGTGATAAAATGTTTACATACTAGCCTCTGTGTGAGTTGTTTTTTTTTTTCTGTATTGGCATTTTAGGGTTAGGAAATGCATGGATGATGCAACTTGACTCATTGGAGTTGCAGCAAAAGTGGACTCTTAGCTACCTGGATATTTCTTTAGCTTTTTACTTCTCAAAGTACTTCACAAGACTTTCCCTGACCTATCGAAGTGATTTCGTTGACTAAGGTTTAAAAGTGAATGAATATAAATGGCCATGTAAAAACAAGGCATCAGCAGGTCTGTATACAAAGTACAAAAGCTGACACACCCCAACAAACTGCTCTTTCTACTGAAATAGTAAAATCATTGTAAAAACTGCAGTATTTACACAAATTTAGACTCCTGCTACTACCTTAATAATTTTGCATAGAAGCTTTAGCCCTTGTGTGTATTTCATTTTGTAAAATAAGCAACCTGTTAGTGACCAGCATGCAGATTAGTAGTGATTAATATGAAAAAAATGAAGAATCAAATTTTCCGTCTTTTCCTCCCCCTCCAATTTAGATCCATGTATATGAAATATAAAGTATATTTGAGGTGCAGGTATTAGTTGGTATCTATTTTTCCTACATTTCTTTCTTTCTTTCTATGATGTTTTAGAGAGTCAGCATCACTGAAATAAAGCTGGTCCGGACTATGTTACAAATTTGCCAAAAATACATCCAGCAGTTGCTATGGACACTGGTAGGGTATGAAAAATATTTTTTGAAAGCATTTTAAAATTTGCTGAAATAATAATATTAAGATAATAATTAATATAAAGACGGAATATAAATGTTAAGCGGTAAACAATCATGATGAAATAATTTATTAATCACAAATAAACTAAGGATAAATTTAATACCTTTTTAAATTTTCATGGGGGAAAAAAGAAGAAACAAAATTGATTTTAACAACAAGAAATTTGTAGATGAAATGGTCAAAAGTAAAGCTCTTAAGGCTTATGTCCTAAACTTAATGTGGATGCAGTATTTTAAATTATCTGCACACCAGGCCTTTACCTCTATACTAACTTTTATACAAGAAGACCATCAGAGATGGCTTTATGGAGGTTTGCATTTTCAACTACAGCTAATATATTGTTTCAAGAATATGTATTAATTGCTAAATTTAACAGTATAGGGAATTAGGAACTTCCAGTTCTGGATTGTCAATTAGAAAATAAATGCCACCTTCATGGGTGAGAGAAATATTCCAGATAAGTTGTAGGAAAAAACAAAACAATACCTTTTTTTGTTAGTAGTACCGAATAAACTGAACAATTGTATCAAATGTGGTTCTCTGGTCAAGTAACTTATGTACTTTTTTTGTCTCTGTAGGATTCTGTCATCTGTTGGGTCACAACTTGATCTGAGGACACTTCGAGCTGTCAGGGTGCTTCGGCCACTTAAACTGGTGTCTGGAATTCCCAGTGAGTTGAGATGGATTTTATTATTTTATCTAAGAAAAAACAAACACCTGCCGCTATCTTTTTGTTTTCTTAATAAAGAATAATGTTTTAATTTTCCCATCCAGAATAGACAGTACACAAATTGTAAGAAATTCCTACATGTATTTTAGCAGTTTGGTAAATTTAGGTTTCGTTTGGTCCACCAGGGTATTTCTTTATCATTAGTTAAATATATTGTGAAAGATATTCTTGAATCTTTTAAAAGACCCTCCCTCTCCACTTAAAAAAAAAAAAATGCACAAGCATGCAAGAGCCCATTTCTCCTTGTGCACGCTCTGTTTAAAAGTTGCTGTTCTCATACCTCATACAAGCTTACTGTGCCGGAAGGTCCACCCTAACCCCTAAATTCCTCAATCACTATATAGAGCAGGGACTATATAGTGGACTTCATAATGAACTCGGTTAATTGACACTTTTTCTCTTACGACCCTCGGCCATTTTCAAAGAATCGCTGTGAGAAAGGTGAGCTTCAATGACAGGCTGAAACCGTAGCTCACCACACATATACGTCTGAAAGTGCGCATGCGCAGAAAAAGATAGCTAACCGAGGATGAGCACGTAGGACAACCTTACGCACACATATCACCAGAAATGTGATAACCACTTATTTAGCTGATCCACCCGGAAATAAAGATTGTCCTCTATACCTTTTAAGCATTAGAAAGTGGAGACAGACTTAAATATGACTAAGTAAGTGACTTAGTATTTAGCAATAAAAGTCAGCGTAAAATAGCACAGCTAACCAAGAAGATTTTTTGCACATTTCAGCTTCTTTTTTGTTGTTGTTTCAAGCTTCCTCTGAGTGTGTTGCATTGTCCTCCAGGTCTGCAAGTGGTCTTAAAGTCCATAATGAAGGCCATGATCCCCCTGCTTCAGATTGGCCTGCTGTTGTTCGTGGCTATCCTTATGTTCGCCATCATTGGCTTGGAGTTCTACATGGGGAAATTCCATACAACATGCTATGATCAAGTTACACGTAAGGATAAAGCAAAAATAATGATAACTGTATGAGCTGTCAGCAAAACGGTAAAAGACATGGCCACATCCTTTGTATTTTTGGTCAAATGTAAAAAAATTAAAATGAAACAGACCAGCAGGTGAGATTCTGTTGCATCTGTTTACTGAACTTGTCAGGATACAGTGATTTGCAACATCATTCAAAACTACTTAGCTTTATATATATATATATATATATATATATATATATTCTTTTTTTCTTTTTTTTTTTGTAGAGGAATTTTTGCCTACTCCTCTTTTCCGAATTGTTTTAATTAGGCCTCATGAATGAGTTTTCAAGTATGACCCATCTGTATAAAGTCAGGCCACACAACTTAAATATGACTTTTTCATTTTGTTGTTCTTTTTCTGAGACATTGAGAAGTGGACCTGTTTGGTGTGTTTTTATTATTGTATTGTGGTCAAATTTGAACTCAATTGAGTTCTAGCTCACTTTATGACAGGATCTTCACCTTTAGCTAATAAATAGTAACTGTGCATCAGTTATGACATTCACCCTGGTCTTTTGGGCTATCACGCTACCACCATGTCTTTTTGTAAATTCTTTATTAGTTACATGTCAGATGTTATTATTCTCTCATCATACACACTGTTTACTCTTCCTTATCCTTTGAATATTTCCTTAAAATCCTTGAGAAAATTTGTAAGTTTAAATGTTGTCTTTGCTTTTTTCTTACCTCCTATGGGAGTCATTGTTGTGCTTTCAGGGTATTTTTGAAGGTAATTGTGTTGTTTCATTTTTAATTGTTAATCAACATCTTCTTTGTCCAATTCTCTCTAATTAGGAGAGATAGTGGAGGAACGTCCGTGTGGTAACCATACTCCTTCCAGGCTGTGCCCCAATGGTTCAAAATGTGATTCTGGCTGGATTGGACCAAACTATGGCATCACCCAGTTTGACAACATCCTGTTCGCTGTTCTCACAGTCTTCCAGTGCATCACAATGGAAGGATGGACAGACATGCTCTACTACGTATGTCCAACAAAATAAAAGCTATACTATCATTTCAATTTGCAAAACTACTGTAAAAGTAATGAAAAAGAAAAAACTTGTCAGGTACTTCTTCGATTTTGAACAGGCAGCCAAGTTTTATTTTCCAATTATTTCCTTCCGCTTATATTTTTTAACTCTTCTTTTAATCAAACTGTCCAGCAGTTGAATATGTCATCCAGTGGTGAAATTGGGGATATTACACTCAAATGAACATTGCAATTAGCACCCCACTGCCTCAAGCACCAATTGGTAAATTATGCGTCAAAAAGCCTCAATATGCAGGTGTAACCATGTCACCAAAAGTGAATGAAGTTTCTACAAGCTGGCATTTACTGTGATAAAAAGCCAACATTTACTGCAGCGTTAAGCCCATATAAACCAACAATTCTGTACCAACATGATCTGCATATGTTTATACGATCTACTTTTATAGATTCTATGGTAACAAGCAACACTGTCCAATTAAACTTAATGAAGAAATTTTGCTTTACACTAATTTAGGTTGTACCGTTCACTTGTCAAGGAGAAACATCGTAACTTTGGTGTCTCTTGTAATATCTTTTCCTTCAGTAGCGTTTCTGCACTTAAGTGCAATTTTTTTCCCTTGTCGGCTTCTGTACTTTCAAGATGGTACTGTAGGCTGTCATGGCGCTTTGCAAAGAGGCGACCAGCCTTACATTCATCCTATTATTTAATACTTTACTTTTGAACATGTATCTGATCATTTGAGGAGGTAATAACTCACCAATAATAATGCCAATTTAAATACTGTACAGTCATTAATTTGAGGCGGACACTGTTACACAGTGTCCCAATATAATATAATGATAATAATAATATATTGGGACATATTTGTAGTCGTGTTACATCTACAGAATCCTAAATACGCTAAAGAAAAATCTGGTCCCTTCCACAAAAGATTCAAGAAAGTTGTGACTTCCAAATTAATTACAAATTTCAGCTTTTTTCCATTAACAAATATTTTAAATCTACTGAATAATCTTGCAATAGTTTTCAGCTATCATTACATTATTTATATCACTTTTTCAGATTTCACATTATAGTGCGGAACTTTTGGGTTTGGGTTTGATTTTCTATGATAATGATAATTCAGCTTTAAGTAGTCTAGATTAAAACAATGCTTAAATACTTTTCCTCCAATTTTCTCTCCTATTCATCATGAATGACCTCTTCCCATCTGCCCTTTCCTTGCTTTTTGAGATCTCTCGAGGCCTCTTTCTCTCTTTAGGTCTCTATTCTGGTCTGTCTATATTTAACATCTTTTCTGATGGATGAAGCCTGACTTCCACACTCACACATGCAGTCAGGAGGAAACCAATGAAAGTTTAATAGCCATGTGGCAGCTGGTATTGTGCCATCTGGATAAAGATAAACCTGACACATGTACACATCCCACAGCCAGTCAGCGACCAGGTGACAGAATAGTGTTATGGAAAGATAATATTGACTGTCCTTTATCTGATTGGTAGTTAAGTTTGTTTACTGGTAGAGACAAAAGCAAGACACTGCTTTTGTTTTCTCAATAATCAACCCAGTACATCAAGCACATTTAAATGGAAGATTAGCTGCAACATGATATTGCTCAGAGATTTTGGTTCATATATTTTTTTGTGAATTCAAACAGATGGCACCTGCTTTCAGGTTAGCCTTTCTGAACAAAAGGTTCCTTCTTAACAAATATCAAATATATATATATTTTTTTATTTACTTACATCTTATCACTTAAACAACTCTCTTTCATTTAATAGTCTTAAGATCCCTTGATTAACGGTGACCCAGATGAGTCAGGTCAAAAACAAAAGCCACAAAAAAGTATATAAATGATGCATGAGAAGAAATCACATACATGATGCTTAAAACATGTTAGAAATTTCATGTTTAATTTTGTGAAATCAGTTTTAAAAACATGATTAAAACATCCCGAGGTGGATGTGAAATGAAACATGTTTGTTTGGCTTAAACTCTTCAGTGCTAGATTGTACCCTAACAAATAGGGTATAAAATTGTCAAACCTGCTAATATAGAAGTTGATAATATATTATGTTTTATGTGAGACCAATTAAATTACATCTTTTATGGGAAACTGGAAAATATGTCCCATGTAAAACCTCAGGAATTGGATTGCACATATGAAATTTAAATACAGTACACACCATGTGTGAAACCCACACATCACATTTGTAGCCAACTGAAATACATAATATAATGTGAAACTCGTGAAATTAAATGTCCCATCTGAACCCAGAGTAATTGCCTGTTTCACATGAAAGCCCTGGAAATGTATATCTGATGTGAAGCTGATAGAATGATGTGCCCCATGTAAAAACTATTCAATAATATGACCATCTACTGGATAACATTTCTTACCTAAAACCCATTAAATTAACCTGTTGAATTGCATGTCTTACTCTAAAACCGTTTCAGTTTTTGTCCATATGAAACTCCATTAGTTAGATTTGATATACAGTATATCATATAAATCCATGGGAGTAGAAGTTATCTCTGCTTTAAAACATGAACCAATCATTCTTGCTATTAAACAATGTGTGGAATTACAAGTTAAGTCCCTCTGAAAAAGTGTAACACAAGTGCACAATTATTTGTTATTCATAGGTCAATCATTTCTTTTAGGAGAAGAGGTAATGCCATATGGTAGCTTGTGAGTGTAGCCGCTCACAATAACATGATAAAAGAATGCACATTTTTAAATCATCTTCTGCACCTTATATTAGTGATTAACATGGCTTGTGCACCTGGCTTTACCAAATATTCACAATCTTTGGTTTTGTTAATCATGACATGTCTGGACATATAATATGAAAAACTATTTTTTGAACCTCTTTCAGCTCTTATTGTTAATGTGAATTTAGTTTCGGACCTCACTGATAATAAAACCTACACACTAACCTGATAATTGCTGGTCACCTCTTAGGGTTTTTTTTTTTTGCTACATTTCTTGAAAGTGTGTATCTGAACCATGCTAGACTAAGATAGTCTAGGTAAGTTTCTTTAAATATTTTGACAGTATTTGAGCAAACGCTGTCTTAAAGTGGTGAAGAGCAACTGATGTGACGCACTGATGTGACTTGTCTCTTGCAGAGCAATGACGTAGAGGGCAGCATGTGGAACTGGATGTATTACATCCCCCTTATCATCATTGGCTCCTTCTTTATGCTCAACCTGGTGCTGGGTGTACTTTCAGGGTATCGTTTGAGCTTTTTCTTACTTATTTCACTTTGCTTCTTTACATTTAAGAATGTGTTTACATGCACACTTTGGAATATCGTGATGATTAGAGCAACTAGGAACATAAAGTAAATGTTCTCACAGTGAATTTGCCAAAGAGAGGGAACGGGTCGAAAACAGGAGTGAGTTCCTGAAGCTGAGGCGACAGCAGCAGATCGAGAGAGAGCTTAATGGATATTTGGAGTGGATCTGCAAAGCAGGTCAGTTCATGCTTAAAAACACATTGCTCCTGATAGACAAAACTCAGGGATCTGCGTTTACATCTATGGGCCATTTTCTTTTACAGAGGAGGTAATTCTGGCTGAAGAAGATGCCACCGGAAACTTTGATGGTAAACACAAGTCTGTCTTTGACAGTCTTTGTCTTTGGGGTGGGGGGGCAACAGAACTGTATAAAGAACCACAATTGGTAATATTTGTTCAACTTTTATTTATTTAATCTCCAAAAGTTGGTATATAACTGAATGTGTTGTTTCAGTGGAAATATGAGGAGTAATTCAAATGTGAAAATTAATAAATAAGCAAAGGTACTTTAGCACTTTAGACTGACCTCTCAGAAATTAATGGATATAAAAGACATTTTGCCTTTTTTTGTGTCTTTCTAGGTTCGAGACGAAGGCCAACTATCAAAACCAGAAATAACAAAACAGAGCTGCTAAATCAAGAGGAAGGAGAAGACAACATAGGAGATGCAGTAGGTAAGAAAGTTTGAAAAATGTATGATTCATTAAAGATGTCGATAAACTTTAAAAAATAGAAGCAAATCAGCCTTCCAAAAAGTTTTCTTCTTTTTTTTCTTCTGGATATTATGCTCCTTATTTTTAAACTGTGGGTGATGTATTGCCTTCTTGCCTATAGGCTTTGCTCGCTCTAGCATTAAGAGCGGTAAGGACGGCTCTAACTACAGCAAAAAAGAGCGCCGATTGCGATTCTTCATCAGGAAGATAGTGAAGACACAGGCTTTCTATTGGACAGTGCTCTGCCTTGTGGGCCTCAACACCATCTGTGTGGCCGTGGTGCATTACGACCAGCCGGAGCTTCTTTCCGACTTTCTCTGTGAGTAAATACAAAGACTGGTTCTAATCTACACTGGTGCAAATCCACAAGGCGCAGTATGAAAAAAAACTTTTCCACTGTTATACTACGGTAAAAACCAAACAGTTGCTTTTCCCTGTATTGCAAAACTGAGCAGTAATTATACTTCTCACATATCTCTTATTGTGTGTTTTACAAATAGGGCTTAGGATTACTTACGGTTTGAAGGTCAGGGAGGAGACGAACCAGTCAATGTGGAGGAGATAAATAAAAATATTAAATATAATATAATATAATATTTGTGACATTCTCCAAAATGTGCAATTTATCAAACAACGCAGAGTCTACACCTTATGAACAAAGGACATTCTTTTGAGGACCAGAATGTTCACATTTTGGACAAAGAAGACAGGTGGTTTGAAAGGGGTGTGAAGGAAGCCATTTATGTAAAGAGAGAAAAACCAACATGAAACAGATGGGGTGGACTCCAGCTCTCAAAAACCTGCAACGCAGCGATAGAGTTGATTCCTTCCCGCTATCATAATCTATCAAATACAACAATGAATAGCTGTAATTTGTTAATAAAGTTTTCAAATCAATTCAGAGACAAATTAATGTGCGGAACTAATACAATGAATATGATTAAAACCTTTTTTTTTATATACAGTATATATCCTTCAGAAGGTTTGCTTTCCTAAAAAAAGATGCAAAAGTGTTTGCATTTGGAATTTAGCAGAAAGCGTGTGCAAACCATTTTTTGCCAGTGTTTTTAAGCAATGTTCAGATCGTATTTAATGACCAAACTGCATAAATTTGTGCAACTGTAAATATTTATAACGTGCAAAAACAATATTCCTAATTGTAAACTCAACAGTTTTGGGGTCTTTTCTAGTACTCCTGAGAGTCAGGCGCAAACAGACATGCAAAAATATTATTTTTTTTAAACATGCAAAAATATTATTATTGCTGCTACAAAGAAGGCTTTGGTACGATGACAGAAGATAGAGACGGTCTGTGCACATGCAAATATAATTAGAGAATCAGAAATAACAATATTAAAAGAATATTAATAAATACAAAAACGTCTATATACATTAATGCAGCAGAAAATCTGAAAACTCTTTATCCAACTAAACCATATTAAAAAAATACTTAAATATTTCTGCATTTTTTTTAAAGGTTTTATCTCTTCACAACAGGAATGTTTTTCCATTCATGCATCCATCCATTTTCTCCCGCTAAGTCCTTGTCAGGGTCGCAGTGGGGCCGATACCTATCTCCGGCAGTCAATGGGCGAGAGGCGGGGTACACCCTGGACAGGTCACCAGTTTGTTGCTGAGCAACACAAAGACACGCAAAGATACACAACCATGCACACACACACACACACTCACACCTAAGAACAATTTAGAGAAGCCAATTAAACTAAAAGTCGAGTTTTTGGACTGTGGGAGGAAGCCGGAGTATCCAAGGAAACCCACGCATGCAAGGGGAGAACATGCAAACTCCATGCAGAAAGACCCCAGGCCAGGAATCAATCCTAGAACTTTTTGCTACAGAAGGTTCTAGGTACAGGGCAACAGTGCTACCCATTGCTCCACCTTGCAGCCCTTGATTTTTTTCTCCTCCCTTAGTTTAGTCAAGCATAACTGTGCACAAAGTGTAGCCAAGTTTTACCATTCATAGCACTTTATTTGCACAGTCAATATTAGTTAGTATTATGAGCTGCATCTCTGTGGCTTAGAACCTCACCTTTCTGTTATGGCCACCCTTAAACTATCTGTATAGAATGCAAACTGCTAATTTTATGGGCGGAACTAAACTGGTTTTTACATCTTAACCAGCAACATGCCCACTTATTGCACTTTCTAACAAAATAACACATGCAGTTTAACTCCCATATTTGGTAGTTTTAATGATTAGACTTAAAAACTAAAATTTAGAGAAACATAAAGATAAATCTTAGCATTGATTTAAAACCACGGTCAGTGTGTATTGACCAATCCTAGAAAATAACTGAAATAATTTTACATTCTGTCAACCAACAATTTACCATAATATCTGATCAAATTTGACTCATTTTAATTTGCACAGAATTTATTTTTTAAAGTGAAACTAAATTATTTCCAACTGTGCTCAAAAGTGTCTATCATATATTTTTCGTGAGTTTGTGATATATAAGTTAGTTGAATATAGAAAGTGGTTTATTAAGTTACAATGATCTGAGCTTCTTTTGTTATGATGTAAACTACCATTACTGAAAAAGATCTGAAAATCTGAAGATATAATTTATTATTCTACACAAAATGAAACCATAATGCAGAAGCAACACAAAAATTCACCTGTAATCGATCTACAGAACCTCATGTTGATAGACTGTACCTCAAGGACAGTCTATGAGAATTTTATTGAGATTCGTAATATAATTGAATCACAGAATTACAAAGTAACAAGAAATGTAACAGGAATTCCACTTATTTTTAATGTTGTGAATCTAAAAAAGAAATAAGTTTTTATAAAGTGACTGCCTTTGTTTCTTAGTTTTTATTTTTTTACCAAAATGATCTTCACCCAACTGATATGATGTGCTATTCTTACCCAAACCATCAGCATATCACATTATATTACGCTCCTTTTGCATTTAAATAAAAAAAAAAATATGTTTGTGTTTAAGCACAGATACTAAACTAAGACACTTTTTTGTTACACTTGAACTGTAAAAACAAAGTTTAAATAGAGAAACTGTTTGCTTTGATATTGTTTTTCCACTTAATGTTTTAAAGTTTGCTTTCTCTACCTGCAAACAAAACTTCACTTTTCTATGCATCTTTTTGGGATAAAGCTCAACAATTTACAACATTCACAACATTTTGCACCTTTTTTTATACTTTTATTTTGCATATCATAGCAAGACCATTTTACACTTTTTAGTCTATTAGTTATTTTTTATTGTTTTGATATAATCTAACTCCTAAAATGTACCTCTTAGCTAATTTAATAGCTCAACAAAAAATATAAATAAATAAAAAAAATTGTTTTGCAACTTTTTCAACTGTAGCTGAGGTCTACCATATTATTTATCCTTTTAATGTCACAGATATGTTGGTATTGACATAAAAAGCGACACTCAGCAGAATCACCTTGTTGTCTCTGGCTGCTGTCCAGCATCATTAGCATATGAAGCTGTACAGTACTTCCTCATGGAGTCCATTCATCACCGCACTGTCATACACACTTCCACTCAAGCCACAATTGACTTCTACTCCTTTCAGTCTCTGCGTCTCACACATACACACTAGTCTCTGACTGTAATTTATACCATTCCTACATGTATTCTTGCTTGTTCTAATATTATCTTACATTTACAGTATGTTTCTATGCTACTGGTTTATAAAAATTCTCTCCTCCTTAACTTCTTCCTCTTTTGCACTCTTAATGTTTTCCTATCCTCTCTCCTTCCTTTTCCTGTTCTTCCCTCCTGCAGTCTATGCAGAGTTCAT